CTTTCCTGCTTGGTGCAGGTGGCTGGACCCAGTGATCTTCCAAGGTCCCTTCCGGCCTTATAATCTATGAATCAGTGACATGTTATTCAATAAGAGTTGACATCAGTGAGAATTAGTTAGGACTGCAATGATCAAAAGGATATTATCATCAAACATAAGCAACACATGATGCAAGAAGTCACTTGTAAGGGATCTGCTACACATTCATATTAAAGCTGGATAAAAACCAGCTATAGAGTTGTTACACACTTTCAAGCACTAACTTTATAGCTGGTTAGTCCTTTTTATATCTGGATAATAATTTTCATTATTTGATAATTACATTTTACATGTGGCTGGTCTTAATTTATTCTTCAATTAACAAATTAATTGTGTGATAATTACTACCCATGTGTGACCAGTCTACATTATTGCACAAATAACCAGTTAATTGCATAATATATGTAATGTGTAGTAGGGACCTTAAGTGACAGAATAAATTCACTTCAATGAGACATTGAAGTTCATTGACACTGCAAGTCTGTTAATGTCTTCTCTTCCTTCCCTACCTCTCAGTCCCCCACCTAATGATTGTATGCATAATGCTGTCCTCAAAATTTCCTATTAAAAGCAAGAAATCACACTTTCACACAATACCTTCATGTCATGGATTCTTTCTCCAGTGTTTATTACTTAGGATATTTTAAAATGGAAAAAGGTTGCTCTTTTTTAACACTCATCCTGAGGTCCTACAAGGTGCCAACCTACTATTCAACATATGATCAAAATACTGAAGCACATTTGTTTTTAAATTCCTATTTCTAGCAGATTTTGCAAATGAAGGTACATCAACACATACAAGCATTATTGCATTATGATCATGTACAGTTATTTTCATATGTTCAGTTTCTCATAAATTTCAGCAAATAAACCAAGAAAACTGAACGCCAAGTTTTAAGAGGCTTTTGGATTTAGAACAGGCAATTTTACAAAAGGTGTACACAAAGATTACTTACACAGCAGTGTCCAATTAATCAGCACAGGGCAGGTGTTGTTATTTAAGACCCGTTATTTCAACTTTGTTGATTAAGCCAAATATTATCAGTTTTCATCTAATTATTGCACACACCACAGAAGGTCTCCCTGTTGCTATACACCTGCCATTTTCCCTTGTGAAAGGCACATTTTAATTAAAATCATGAGCTTATGCCTATGATCTTTCTTCTCAAGAGAGAGCTACAGTGTCAAGGATCCAGTGTAGGTATCAGTGCTGCTAACTTGGATAGTTTTTTCTTGAGCCTTGAGGTCTCAGAGTCCAGTAAGACTCTCACCACTCATTATTTTAAAAGTATGTTTCTAGTCCTCATACTGCAGAGAAAAGGGAAAAAATATGGAGTTCATGTTCTTGAACACCAGGGCTAGGGACAGACATGCAAAAAGCCTCAGCCTGAATTGATTCAGTCTTTACAGGTCAGTCTAATCTGGCTATGCTGAACC